GTGTTAGAAATGACATGCCATTGAATCTTAAAAAATGTAAAACGATGTGCTTTTCATGTAGATCTGTAGACCCTACTTCATACGTAATACAAAACTTTCAGTTAGAGCAAGTATGCAGTTTTGTTGATCTAGTGGTAACTATGGACCCCAAACTCAATTTTAATCTTCACACATCTTCCATGGTTTTTAAAGCTAAAAGTGCTCTTGGTTTTGTTAAACGTTGGTCTAAAGAATGTAGAGATCCGCTTACCACGAAAATTCTTTTTACATCTTTGGTGAGGCCTATATTAGAGTATGCTTCCATGGTATGGAACCCTTGTTATCTAGTTCATTCTGAGAAAATAGAGTCCGTTCAAAAACAATTCTTACTTTTTGCCTTAAATCATTTGCATTGGGATTCCAGAGGAGGGTAATCGTTGGGTATTATTATTATTACTATAAAAGTTTGGTTTTCTTATCAAACGACAAAACTTATTGAACAACCCGGTATAAAACGAAGTCTTTTATAAAGATGTCAATAAGTAAATTCTGGTAGAGCGATATATGGTCTATTGTACCCTTTCTTGGTTTTGAAATACTTTATTTATTCTAGCTGAACGAAAGAGACATAGAAGACATAGCTTCTGGATTTAATCCTCTCTCCAGAGCCATTGTCCCTATAGCCTTACTTCTCCTGCGATGTTATGCAATCAAGTGGTATGTGTGCTGACGCTTCAGCCACATGGTCGCAGAACCCACATAGATGTGTAGAACAGTATTCCAATATTTGCAGGTAATACTTTATCCAACAGTGATCTGCATAAAATACCAATAGTTGCCTTAATATGTCATTGTGGAGAACATTTAATAGCTTGAACCTTATTGTATTGAATTCTCCCAGTACTATTGGCTTGGTTGCGTCAGCTTTTTTTTTCTAGAAAAGATGCAAATTATTTACACTGAATGTCTTTATTCCCAGGGATCCATGATGATGAAATGATGAAATGTTTTTATTATTTATAACTACACTGTCAAACAATTTGATGAACCAATTATCAAATCATTGTTAACTTCATTTTAACGTACCTTATTGGCTGAAGTTACGGTTAACTACTTATCACTGAGAACGACGACACGTTCGGGACTTTGTTCTGTATCGCGATTCGTAATTGGAATTCAGATCTACTTTATAATTATGCGAAAGTTGTACCACCCTGTGCCATAATAAATACGTACAATTTTCTTTTTTCCTTTTTACAACTCGAAAATCGAATTACAGAAATAAAAAATCCGAATTCGAGTAAATTTTTTTTCGAATCGATTTACAGAATATTGCCCCAGGTGGCACTGACAGTTTGAGAAGCGGCCATTCTATAGAGTAACGAATAGTAGGGCTTCGAATTAGAGAAATAAAAACAGAGAGACACGCGATATATCTTGGTACACTATTAAAAAACTGACGCTTTTGTTCTCTTAACTTTTATAATATTATAATTTATATAGTAGGACAGTTTTTGGTGATTGGACATTTTGGACCTACATAGTAAATGTTCAAATTACGTCCAACTCAATTGCCCGGGGGATTGAGTGTTGCGGTCGGTAAATGATCAGTCCATTAACTAGTTATTGTCGATTAATTGCAGGGTTTAAACTGGACGCCAATTATTTTTAGTCTTAGGGGTGTTCCAGAGAAAAGTTTTGCGGAAGCTTTATGGACATTGACATATGTAGTTCAGCGAATTAAAAGACAGTGGCTGCGCTGGCTAGTTCACGTCATTCCAATGGTTGAAAACATTCCAACTCAGAGAGTATTCGACTCAATACCCGCCGGGGAAAGAAGAGGAAGAGGTAGACCTCCCCTCCGTTGGAAAGACCATTTGGAGAAGGACCTGGCTACACTTGAAATCTTCAATTGGCGTTAAACAGTGAAAAGTAAGAACGACTGGAAATAAAATCTTTAGTTTCGCCTATTATGAAGGCTTATAAAGATGTCAACTTTGTTCATTAATAGTGTAAAGACAAGTTCTTAAAATAATATTTCTAGCATCGTAACTAAGGTTCTATTATAGCTTTCATATTCAGGTATAACCTTCCTCTTCTTAGTCCTTCACATTACTTTATAATTGACTAATTACAAATATAAATCAATAATTTCAATTGAACTGCTTTCGAGCTCATTGCAACAAGCATTATTTTATCTGTTGCATCTCGTGCCCGTTATCATGCCTATCTGAAATACCCACCAATAAACTAGCGATGACAAACTTCATTAATCCAAGAATTAAACTTCATTACTTTTAATTATTATGACTAACAAAGCAGCAGTTAAGCGGGATATTTAGCAAATCCATTAAAGGGCGAAAACAAATAATGATTACAAAATACAAAGACAATGAATGCTACTTACCAAGAACAATGCCCATGGCGAGCAAGAAAAGTGTGAACCAGCGACAGCAATAACTGGAACCCTTGTGCTTCATCATTTGCTCTCAATGGGTTGGCATCACCCACCCAACGCCACAGTCGCCCGAACAAACGCCTTTGGGTACACTTCGAACTTCGAACGACGAATGACGTTGGCACGGCGCACAGCGAACGACGAACGACAAGCGACGAAGGACAACAAACAGCCAGATGTTTACTATCGCAAAATGTCACAAGCGACGGAACGTCAAGCGGACGCTAGCCTACGCTCCACTACTCCGAAACTAAACTATAGAGTCTGCAAAGTTCGACCGACTCTAATGCACACACTCTACTGACAATGAGCCCTTTGACAGTGATTTGTTGCTATTCCACTGACGGCAAGTTATAGTGACACCAAGGCGACTATGGCATAAGCTGTCTTACTGGTACCGTCACTTTGCCTGTCAGAGCGACTAATACGATCATTCCTTTGCGCACCGGACCCCAACTGCGTCGTGTCTTTGGTTATTCCTCAAGCTGTTGGTGGCTGCAAGCAAATGCAAATGAAACAGCGTTGCCAATAATAATAGTATGTGTTGTTGTTGCTCTTGTTCTTGTTGAAGATGGATTTGTTGTTGCTGTTGTTGATGAGAACTGTGAATGAAATTAATTCAGAGTGTTGTTGTTGTAGCTGCCTCTGCCTCTGCTGCTGCGACACCACAGTGTGAACAAGTCATTCAATCTGAGCCCCCAAAATCACAAGCCAGCAGTTGACCGGCTGATGGGTTGGCCCTGCTGCTTGCCAAGGCGGTGGGCTGGCTGTTAGCTGGTGATGTGTGTAACTAAATTAGCTCCCTGCTGCTGGCGTAATGATTGAGTTTTTCATGCAATTTATTATACATTTGCTTCGTTGGCGGTTGGTCGTTCCGACGCCTACCGTCCAATGCTATCGTCGTCGTGGGTTACAGACCGTTAAAGACCGACCACCAAACCGATAGCACTGTGAGTTGTTGTCTGCGCTGCACTGCGCTCGGCTCAGCGGCAATGAGTGTTCCATTTACATTTGACCGCCCCGTCGGCTCCCACATGGACTTGCAGCCCATTCGTTTTGTCTTCTACGTTCTGCTGCGTCGTCTTGTTTTGCCTATTTTATTTCTTTTCTGTTTTAGTTTTTCCTATTTTATTTGATTTGGTTTTTTATTTTATTTTATTCTCACATCCTTTTGTGTTAATCACAGTGGGTAGCCGGAAAACGTCTGTTTCGTGCGCTCGATGGTATAAATTTAATTTAGCACCGAAGAGACCACACTTGATGTCTCCACTTTGGTGGCGATTCCCACCTTCTCAGCCTTGCTCGACTACCACTTATTTTTCACTGTATTTGTGTGATTTTTTGTTTGAGCACAAAGCACTGCAATGTTTTTCCTTTTAAGCACTCTACTTATGCTGCTGCTTCCTTCTCTTATCTTTTGTCTTCGACTGTTCTTTACACTGGCGACCTACACTTCGGCACTGTGAATGAATGACATTTGTCCATTTCATCTATTGTTATTTATATATATCTTTATAAATTACTTTCCCCATTCATGCACCCATTCATTCATTCACTTTAGCACTTAATCATTTATTCATTTAGTTTGTGTGTGTGTGTGTGTTTGTGAATACTCATTCAGATTGCTGAAAGTATCTCAGGAATTATGGCGCTCATCTACACTCGTATCGGGCGTTTTGTTTGTTGTGTGTCCTGACTAATTTACGCACGTCATTTAAATAAAGATTGGCATAAATAAATTGGCTAAGGCATTTACAGTTATATAATTTATTTACGTACACTTACATAATATATGGATGTTTAGTTATATAATGTGTGCGTATGTGTATGTGTGTGTCTGATGTGCTGACGTGTAACGAAACACTAATAATCGTGTTAAACGTTTACAGAGCATATTTGGTCAATTACAGTTAAGTGGTTTTGTGTTGCAATCCCAGGTAAGCGTTGTGTATTCCTATTAATTTTATTATTTAAGATATTTATTGTCATTTAGACGAGAAATGCTAGTTTGTGTGGTTGCCTTGATGGAAATAATAATAAGATATTGTTGGATTTAATAAAAATACGAATTAATATGGAATACAATTTTCATTGCATAGTTTTAGGCAAGATATTGAATGGCTTTGAAACCACTACACTCCCTTAGAGTTTAATCAAAAATAGAAAAATAGTGCTTTGATCTGTTGATGAATCTAATATCCTGTTTGACGTTAAACCAGAAATGGATTCCAGGGCATAGTGATGTGAAGCAACTGAACTAACTAAAGTAAACACCACTTTGCAACTAAAATCCGAAAAAAAAATTATTTATATGCCTCGGGCTACTTGTAGCTGCGGCAATCCGTAAATTGCTACACAAGCAGGCAAACAAGGACATATATGGAATATGGGCTTGCAGATGAAAAGCTCGAGTTGTCACGAGAAAAGAGTATGATCCACCGCTCCTTTATTCAGCTTACTGTAACAGGTTATACTCCTACTTATCCAGAATAGACCCCGACATATCTAATATACTACTGTGATCAAATTTAAAAGTGAATTTGTCCATTTCATCTCCTGCAAAGTAATCCCCTCCTGCTGCAATAGACTTATACGAACGAATTTTCCAGTCATCATAGCAATAAAAACCTCCGTCGCGATGATCATCAGAGCCTTCTTCGATTCAGCTTTGATATCCTTAATTGAGTAAAAAGAATTGAAACTATTGGACGTTAAATCCGGCCACTCGCTGCTGTGGCTATAATACAACGTGTGTTCCAAATTAAACAGGACTTTTTGAACCTTGCGCCCTCTGATGGCGTCATCTATCTTCGATTATCCAGTGAGTGAGTTCATGACATTTCATTGATTGGAAGTGAAATTATTGCTTTTTCATACGAACATAGTTATCCGTGCGAAAATGAGTTTCGAACAAAGAGCCAACATTAAATTTTGTTTTGAAATTGATACAGCTTTTACGGAAACGTTTCAATTGATGAAATAAGTTTATGGCGATGATTGCCTCTCTCGTAGCAGAGTGGTTTTAAAACTGGTCGTGAGGACATAAATGACGATCAACATGTGGGCCAATCAAAATCCGTGACCACCGGAAATTCCATCTAAACTGTGCATGAATTCATCAAAAATCAGGCGAAATCATCATTGAAATTCATGGAAATGGAATTGAACATCTTCAAAACACCAATTTCTAGCATTTTGACCGAACATTTGGGCTTACGAAAGGTGTGTTCACCATTAACCACTACCCGTATTCACCAGATATGGCACCGTGCGACTTCTTCCTTTTCGGAAAAATGCATTTACCCATGAAAGGAGAGCGTTATGCAGACGAAGAGGACATTCAAAAGCTTTTCACCGGCATACTGGCGGCCATACCGCCCAACGAGCCAAAGCAATTGTTGGACATGCTTTTGGACCGTGCAAAAACTTGTATTGAAGCAGAAGGAGACTATTTTAAATAAAAAATTTGACGAAAAAAGCATTTATTCTGTTTTTTTTAAGTCCTGTTTACTTTGGAACTCAGATTGTATTATAACAAACAGTTCCATATAATGGAAATAGTTTTACAAATAAATACGAAAATAATAAATTTTTTTAGACGGGAACATATGCTGATCTATATGAGTAGATATATTATTTTTATTTATGAATTGTTTTGACTTTTAATTAATTGAAATGTAGACTCTACTATCTTTTGAGTTGGATCAAACTGGACACAGTATGGTCAATTTTTCTAAAAATCTGTTTATCAGTTTAGAAGTTTACCCTGGACAAACAAGATGTCTATATGTGTATATGTGTGACCTGGTCTACGAAAAGGGAGCTAACGTGCGAAAACTAGTTTTCTGGGAAACAACTGTTAAAAAAAAGCATCTCATCTTCCATCCGAATCAACTAAAAAGTGAAAATTGATTTTTTGACACCTAAGCGCAATTTCCGAAGACCAGGTCACATATATACATATACTATATATAAATATATATGTACAAAGAGTATATATATAGAAAATAGTTTATGTGATTTTTACTTCATTCTTGCTATTCTTTTCGTGATCTATGTAAGCTTTGTTCGATTAGTCATGTCTCTGTTTGGGTACTGCTGCCTCTCCAAAATTATACACGTGAACAACATTTTCAGCCAGCTAAATTCCATACGCGAGAGTATGAGAACACAACGTTCATGTAGTGTAATCGCTTTTCAATGCTAAAACTTTCGTTTTAAATATTTTAGACCAGTTTTACTGTTACAAATATAGTTCATATTACTGTATAAAGTAAACATAGGTATTAAAAAAATTTAAGATTTGGAATGAAATATAGAGCAAATATGAATATAATAGTGGGATTCTGTAACCAGTTTCTAGTCTCTATTTGAACTATTTTGTGGTAAAATCTCAATTTGTCACTAGTTGCTATTCACTAAACAGTCTCTAGCTTTAGTCTCAAAATATTGCCTCAAATTTGAGACCTGGTAGTTAGCGAGTCACAAAACCAAAAAGAACTCGTGTCTGCCATTTTGAATATWYTGAATAGAGATCACCATAAATATTAATCGATTGTCGTTTTTTTATATTTTGTAAGCAACTCAAACACGAAAAGGTTAAAAATAAATAAATTTTACATAAATTTCGTTAGTATTATGAAACAAAGTCAACATATATTTTTATTTTGATTGATAATTATGTTTTTTGACTATGTTATAGAAAATTTAATTTTTGTTATCGACATATTTATTTTCATTCAAGTATAAAAACATCTCTGAATAATGAAATGTAATAGAGTTTGTGACTATCACTTACAGAATAGCAAAATCGTCCCAAGTCTCAAAAATTGTCTCTGTCAAATTTAGAGACTTGATACTGTATCACAGTACAGAATCGCACGGTAAGTATTGTCTATGGTAAGTGCCAAACTGACCACTACTCGAAATTCCCCACGAAACAACAGTAAAGAGCCAATCAAGCTTGCATCACAGTGCTGCTTGTTTGCTGGATTAGCTGGTATTGACAAATTATCTAACGCTTTGTGGATAATTGTGTTCTATAGTGTATAGTGTGTTAATATATGTACGTAAGAATAAAGTTAACAAATTACTTTATTTTATTATCAAAATAGTATTTGTTGATTTTAATAATCGTCCATGGTATGGTCGCTATTCATCGAATTGTTGAAAGTTTCAGGAGTACATTTTCTTCAAATAATGCTCAATTGTCAAAAAGACAAAGAAATGCTCGGAATAACGAAATTATTGTTGCCGTTCGGGCAAGTGTTGCTGAAGACCGCAATTTGCAGATGGCGGATTTGGAGAAAGGATTTTGGCTCGTAAGAACTGAAGCCATTGGACCACACTGAACGTGTTGAATTTGCTAATTTTGCCTTGAAACAATTTGAAAACGATAACAGTTGTGTTAAGAGAATTATCTTCTCTTATTGAGGGTAATTTTCGTCTGAGTGGTGTGATTTATCGATTATATTACGCAGAAAACCAACAAGCTATCCATGAGTAATCATTACATTCACCTAAATTGATAGTTCGGTGTGGTTTTTGGTCTGATGGAATCGTCTGTCCGTACTTCTTTCGGAATGAAGCTATTGACACCGTTACTTTCAATGGAGAACGGTATAGATCGATGAAAACCAACTTTATGTCTGCAATTGAAAAAAGAAGATCTTGACAACATCTGGTGCCAACAAGACGGGGCTATGTACCACACAGTACGTGCAACAACCGAATTATTGCGTGGAAAGTTTGCAGATGCGATTAAGAAGTTGTGGTTTAGACAAATTCTTGTGGGGTCATTCGAAGGCATTGGTGTTTAGCAACAAACAAGAATCTCTTCAATCTTTAGAAGTCAATTGTGAACTTACTAAGTATTTGTGTTTGATTTATTGGAAAAAGTACTCGATAACTGGGTTCATTGAATTTGTTCCAGCAAAAGAAGTTGTGAAGACCATTTAAATGACTTTATGGAGAAGTGAGACTTAACTGTAACAATTGTACTTCGCATTAAAAAAAAATCAGTGTGGTTTTTTCTTTGAAAAGAAATCATAATACTCTTATTGGAAAATCCTCTACAATCCCAGATTATAAGGATG